TTTAAAAATACGAACCGAGAGGAAGTAGGTCTCTTTTCGCGAAGCTGGGACAGCAGGAGGAAGGGTGAGATTTTAGCTCTGAGCTCTGACCTCTCGGCTTTCTCCTTTACATTGTTTCTGTGTTTCTTATTTAATAAGACGGTTGGTTACATCTACACACCCTAAACTAACATTTACCCCATCTACGAGCTGCTGGAGTGCCTGAAGGTACCAGTCCTTCAGAACCACAGGATCTCCACTACTAGGGGCAACAGCAGGAAATCCAAGAGAAGTTTCAGTGAGGGTCCAGTACTGATGGCGTACCAGCAGCCAGAGGCCTTGAACCTGACCAACAACACATTGCAATGAACATTTGCAAGCAAAGCTGTTTGAGCCAAAGTGTATACTTCGTATCACAGCAAAGCTCCCAAGACCACTATGACAAATGACTATGTCATGGAGAGGCAGGAAAGGCAGAGGAGCAATGTGTTGGGGGTCTTTGTTTTTCAACTATTTATTTATTTTTATTTTCCTTTGGGGAGGGAGGCTGCAAGGGTGGAGGGTGGACATAAAAGGACTGGGAAACGATTGGGATTGGGGTGCATGCTGTGAAATTCCCAAAGGAGCAATAAAAGAATACATCAGGCGATGAGAACAGTTTCCAAAGCTTAGATTACCGAGTCCTGTGGTTGTCAAGTAGCCTCCTGGCCCAAATGTTCCTGATGGAAACGGGCCTTGTAGCTCCTAATGCCAGGCTCCGAATTTCACATCCTTTGACTTAGAACTTGCTGCTCTTCTCACCCAGACTCTCAATGTAGGCAGGGATCGAGTTTGTTCCAAAGGGAAGGGATTTCCCTCACCAGTTTGGAAAACCTTTGAGACCTTTTATAGGCTATTGAAATAAAGCCACAAGTATCAGAGGGTCCCGAGAACATCCCACTGCTTAAATCTCCTTGGTTTCCAAGCCATGGAGTAAACAGAAACCTGCCTCAGCTGCCCATGACCACTTTGGCAGTTCTGGCATGCTGCCTGATGTCAAACCGATCTCAAGTTCCAGCTGTCTCTTCTTATATGTTAACTGCCATTCAAGCAGAATTCAGGATGGCTTTCCCTCCAGTGAGAGCAGGGGCCTCTTGGTGTAACATCACTCTCCTTCCTAGGTGTCCACGGTAGGGCAGGTGCCAGAGGTGAGGCAGGCTGGGAGAGTGGGCAAGCACACGCAGGCATATGAGAGAAGCTGTAGCCCATGTCTTTGTATGTGTTTGCATGGCTTAGAATTGTCTAGATAATGATCACAAGCCCTTTCTGTGGCTTGCAACCTGTGAACAAATGCCAACCATTGAAGGGCTGACCTGGCTGAGGCCCCTGGAGAAAGGGTCCCTGGGTTGTTGATGTATCTTCAAGCCTAGTCACTTGTAATAGCAGAAAGAAAATTGGAGCCGGAGAACAGACTGGCTGTTTTCCTTCGGTAGAGGAAAAGGGTCGTGACTTGAACTTATCTGTCTGTATCCTGAGATGTGGAGAGTAGCTCAGATGTAAATTTTAAATTAAATAAGAGTCTGAGAGAATGTGTTATGAGCTCCGTGGGCAACGGACAAAGTAAAAATGATTTCAGTCAAGGGAGTTAATTTTACTCCAGGGGTGAGTTTATAGTTTCCCTGCTTAAGTATGCTTGGAATTCGGTCTTGAGGGTCAAATATTGACATTTACAAGATGACTTCTTATCCCATAAAGCCGCGAGAATGAATAACTAACTGAATGCCACCATATAACGAGCCCCCACAAACACAATGGTAGGCCATAGGAGCCAGATCCAAGAGTACAGACACTCTAGGAAGCCATTTACAGAAAGCTCACTGCAGGTAAAGCTTATCAGTGGGGTCAGGGGTCAGCCAAGGGGTTGCCCCTGGAGACAAGGATGGCAGGAAGGAACAGGAGGATGTGGCTGATTGTGCTCAGTTTCTCCTAGGTGCTGGGTACCTGAGCACGGTGAGGTTTTGAAAATCTCACTAGCCTACAAGCAGGAGAGGCGTGCATGTCCCACGTGTCGACAGAAGTTAAATAAGGCCGGACATGGTGGCTTAGGCTTGTGATCTCGGCACCCTGCAGGCAGAGAAGGAGGATGGCGCTGAGTCTGAGGCTGGCCTGGGCTACATGGTGAGTGCCAGGTCAGCCAGAGCTACATGGCAAGACCCTGTCTCAAACAAACAAACAAACAAACAAACAAACAAACAAACAAGGTTCCATAAATAAATAAAGGTCTTGAGTTCTTCTTAAGTCTCTTTATCTAGCTTCCATTTCTCCTCTCCCATCCCATTTCTACCCTCTGAGGAGATCTTCAGCAAGGGTTTTGACTGATTGCTATTAAACTGTTGTGAATTCTTGGCTACTTTAGAGTGAATTCACCTATTATGGTCTCTTATCCCCGATATTTCACTGAGCGGCAGTCTCATAGAGAGAGCAGGTGCAGACAGCAGGAAATAAATGTTAGGCATTAGGAAAATAAGGCCCATTAACCTCACACAGTGCAAGGCGCTGTAATTGCAACAGGAGTCAACCCACCCCGTCTTCACAAATATGCTTAGAGCCTGGTCATCTCACTAAACGTTCAATCTCTGTCCTCAATAGTTTGTTCCTTTATTCTCTTTAGAGGCTGGCCATTGAATTCAGCGACTTCTGTGATCTTTTCTGGTCCTTTGATCTCAGAGAATATAGGGGGGAAGAGTCATGAATGGCAAAGCTAGTCATGAATGGCTAGGCAATGCGGACAACCTTCCCAGACCAACAAAACCTCTGGCCTTCTGAGGCTGAATGAGGTCACAGCTTCATGCTGTCTGGGAACAGGAACCCAGCAGGGACCTCACTAGCAGGAAGGCACATGGGGTGCCATCTGCCTGCTCATCCTCTCAGCCAGAACATCTTTGGCTCCGTGGTATCTCTCTAGTTCTTCCCTAAGTCCCTCTGACTCCATAAAAGATGCCTGTAGTTGGGGCGGGGGAGATGGTTCCACTGGTAACCTGTTGGCTGTGGGACCTGAATTCAGTCTCTAGAACTCACACACACATACAAGCTAGGCATCATGGTATGTGTGATCTCATCACTGGGGAGGCAGAACAGGTAAAATGAGGTTCACTGAATCAGTCATCCCCAGGCCAGTGGAAGACCCTGTCTCAGAAAACAAATTAGAGAGCAACCGTGGAGGACACCTCTGGCTTCGAAGTGTGTATACACATACATGCACCAGAACACACAAGTACTTCAAACACCCCCCCGGTTTCTCTCTCTCACACACACACACACACACACACACGATCATATTACACCCCCCTGGTTTTTTTTGGTTTTGGTTTGTTTTTACAACTACCTTGGTTCAGCCTTACTTTGATGCTAATCATCTGATAAGCTACCTCCTGGACGGATCCATCTCTTGCCTCTGAATTTTGTGGTGTGGTAGGTGTCATTTTGTATCCCGGCTCTGTGAGGAGCGACATGCACCCTTTGCTACCTGTCTACCAGCATCCTTACCTTTCTCTGAGAAGACTCTAGCCTGGGATGTTTCCTTTCTAGGATGGTACTCACTTCCCCTATACACCTTAACCTGTCTTGTGTTTTTATGTGAGGTTATTCGAGAGTGGATGACTTACAATGAATCGAGATTCACTACAGTTCTGGAGTCCGAGAGCCTGGCTCTGGTGCCTGATGGTGGCCTTTGCGCTTCGTCTTCCCACAGCAGAGGGTAGAAGCAAGAAGAGGCTTCTTCTGTGACAAGCCTCCTCTGGAGACTAGCTAGCCCACCCTCACGACGACAGCATCAGGCCGTTTATGAGGCCAGCGCTTGTTCTCACCACCTAACCAACCACCCTTTACAAAGCCCAATCTCTGGAAACATTGGGAACTAAGTTTCCAATATGGCAGCTTTGGGGATCACATTCAAACCCCAGCCTTGTGTGTCAGTGAAGTCTAGCTGGTATCAAACAAACTGGAAAGGGAGAGGATTAAAAAAAAAAGAGTTAATTCTCTTATAAAAAGTTCATATTTGGGATGCGCCAGTTTGAACATCACTTCCTTCTAGAAACAGTCTCTAGCCTTCCTTTCTAAAGAGACCTCACCATTTCCTAGCATCCCTCTTCCTTCCTTTGTTACTGTGAAGTGATCTGGTTCGTGTGTTTGGGGTTGGGCTGCTTAAGGCCCGACGTGGCCGCCACAGCCATCCATCTCTGCAGAGAGCCCCTCACCTGTCTTGCTCACTTGACATCTGAATGTGAACGAGGGCATGGTGTCCTGGGGAGAGCTAATATTTTGGAAGAAGAAGTCATCACACTTTATTGCTTGAAGAACATTTAAGTGGCTCCCATTTGGATCATAACAGATGAAAATGAAATTTGTTTTGATTAGTGAGGCAAACCTAGTCCTGGCGTCTGAATTGCTTTTCTCAGTGCTACCACTGAACACCTGACAAGAAGCCGCTTGGGGGAAGGTTGGTTTCAGCTCCCGGTTTCAGAGGACTGTTCAGAGGGCATGGCAGCAGGACAGCTCCGGACTGTGTTCCGAGGAGTGTAAACAACAGGGTACTTTGTGTCCACAGTCAGGAAGGAGGGAGACGCTGCTGCTCTCTGTGTTCAGCCAGCTTCCTTCTTGATCATTCTTCACTCAGTGTGAGAGCCAGTTCAGAATGACATCCCCTACCTTCAGGACTTCTCTGTCACACCAGTCTAGAAACACAGCCACAGATACCTCCCCAGGGACGGATTCCAAAGCCAGTCGTGTTGACAATGGAGATCAGTCGTCACCAGGCCACTCCTCGTACACTTTAAACCATAACAACTGCTATCTTGGTCCTGCAAGCCCCAACTGTTCGAACTCTGTATGCCGGGCACTCACTTGAGGTAGTTACGCTATGGGACGAATGTAGACACACTGGGGACAATCATAGATCATGGGCCTATGATGAAAACGCTGCTTTCATATTCTAACTTCTGACTCGTGCTTCTGGAGAGAATATGGCCTTTAGTTACAGAGTGATGAAGGTCTCGTGGAGGCCTAGAAAAAGCGAAGACCTTCCATTAATACATCACCAAAATTCAAACTCGTATTTCAGCAACAAGAAATAGTAAATAATACATCGCTTCATGAAGATTTGCTTAGTTTATTTACTTACATTATTTATAGGTCATGTTGGGAATAGACTTGGTCTCTTCAGCTTTGCTCACAGTAACATTCCATAAATATAACAGCGAGCAATAAAGGAGCATTGATTCAGAAGTGAGCTCATAGCTTCACATAACATCAAACATAAAAACTGTGCTACAATGATAAATACTAAATCTTTAAAATATCTTTAAAATATCATTGGCTTTTTACAGCCATTACTTATGCAGTATGAATTTCAAGATATTCACATTCCGTATTGTTCTTTTTAATGCGTGAGTTATATCCTGAAGTGTTTGGTGTGGGCCGGTATAAAATAGACATTTTGAATTTGGGGGTGGGGTGCAAAAATGTGCTTCTGGTTTAAAAATACAACCCAAGTTGTCCATGAAAAACTCAGACAGAGAATAAAGGGTAGCATCTCCCCACTCCCTGGATAAGTATGATCTGAGTGATGTAGGTAAAAAAAAAAAAAGTAAAGATTGAACAGAAACATTGTTCATTGTTCATATCACGAGGCATGTCCTCATCTTATTGCTGAGTGCTGGGATTACAAGCAGAGTTCACCATGCCTGATTTAGGGGGTGCTGGGGATTGAACCCAGGGCTTTGTGTAAGCCAGGCAAGCGCTCTGCCATCTGAGCTGTATCACCTGCTCCCACGAGAATATTTACAAGCACAGTCTGTGACCTGGGTGAGTCTGAATGTTGAACGACTGTTTGAATGTCTTATGTTATTGTGAAGGCACGGTCCGGGCTGTGTGCTCAGCACAGAGGGAGACTGAAATAGGGGTTAGAGAAATTGCAAGCCCACAGCAGGAGAGAGAGTGGGGTGTGCTGTGGCTCCAAACGTGGCAGCCAGTTGGAGCATCCTGACTTTACCTGCTGCCCGTCTCTGAAGCCCTGTGTGTGGTACGGTCTGGGTTTCGACATGTGAGTCAGAAAGCAGTGCTCAGAAAGATCCCCATGTCATGTGACCTACCGGAAACCCTTACAGTGTGTGATGGCCAGTCTTGGTTGTCACCTTAATCACATCTGGAACTAACTAAAACCCAAGCAGCTGGGCACACCAGTGAGGGAATTTTTTTGGGGGGTGGGGTGAGGGAGAGAGGGGGTTGGATCATTTGAACTAGGAGATCCAGTGTAAATCCACATCATTTGAGGCCAGAAGACCCTCCTTAAATCTGAGCCACACCCTCTGGTCACAGCCCACAGAAAAAGGACTTGGAAGAAGGAAGTTTTTGCCTTTTTTTTTACTCGTTGGCTTCACACTCACTGGCAAGTTCATCTATCCTGTTCCTGAGCCATTTTTGCATTGGTTTTAGAACCTGCTTCTTCAGGTTCCAATGTGGGCCGAAGACTGGCAGCTCTGTAGGGCCTCCCCGGGCTCCCACACCAGATCAGGACTGCTGAGGCATGGAATCTCATGGACAGAACTGGATCCTTGGCCTTTCCATCGAGAGACAGCAACTGTTGGACTGCTTGGACCACAGCCTGCAAAGCCACTCTAATGAAACTATTTTAACACACACACACACACACACACACACACTTCATTCTATCAGTTCTGTTCCTTAGAGAACCATAACTAATGCAGAGAGACAGGGACAGGTTGAAAAGTTATTTTTTATCTCTTATGGCATTTTCAAGACTTGGTCTTCTCTCTTAAGGTTTCTAGAATATACAGGAATTATTGTATCTTGTTGAAGAATACGTACACACACACACACACACACACATACATATATATTATAAAATGGGTGTTTTGTATGCATGTATGTCTGTTTACTATATGAGTGTTTGGTGTCCAGGTATCCAGAGGATGGTGTTAAATCCCCCCTGGAACTCAAATTACAGATGCTTGTGAGCTGCCATGTGGGTGATAGGAATAGAATCTGGGTCCTCTGAAAGAGCAGCTAGTGATTTACACATACACTCACACATGGCATGCCATGTCCATGTGTGGGTGGGTCCCAGGGATGGAACTTAGGTTGTTAGTCTTGGTGACAAATGCCTTACCCATTGAAGCATCTCATGGCCTCATTTTACTTATGCTTTTGTTGAATTATTTGTCAGTAAATTGTGGAGACCACAATACCATCAGCAAATATTTCCAAAGAACATTAAATACCTCAACATGGGAGCTTTCAAATCTAGACAATTTTACATCCATGTAAAGGTATTGTTAGTATACAATACAATCCACACTCAAACTTGGCCAGTGACTCAAATGTATTCTTCTAGCCACTGTTTTTTTTTTTTGGAGGGGGGAATCCCACATTGCATTTGGGGGTCATGTTCCTTCACTCCTCTTTGGTCTGCAGCCAATTCTAGATCTTTCTTTATATTTCATGACTGATATTCTTAAAGAGCTTAGAGGCCTTGTTTGGTAAAATGTCTCCCAATTTAAGTTCATCCAATTGTTTCCTTACAATTTGCTTCCAGTTACACACTTTCCCAGGAATGCCACTCCGTCTTTCCTGGTGCCACATCGCAGGGGTGTGCAATGTCAATTTAAAATGTTCACAGACGTTAAATGTTCAGCAAAGTGCAACGACACATATGTATGACGATCCCACGATAAAAATCACTACTTTGTGTGCTGACCTAAAAAAAAAATTAACTTAACAATTTGTTTAATAGTTTGACTTTTTATCGTTCAGTGATGACCATGGAGTATTTCTTAGTTGAGAAGCCTTGGAAAACTGCATCCTCTGAAACAATAGTCATGACTCTGCCTCTGTTTCTCAGAAAGCAATTACAGAGTCCTCTTTCCAGTCCTTATCACGAAAGAATAGTGCCGATGTGCTTGGACGTTTCAACGTTGCGGGGGCTTCTCTGTGATGCCTTGTATTCAGGAGGATTCAATTGTGCTGGGAGTCCGTGGCACTAATTAATCATTCTCCCTCAACTCCCTCTTACCAATTCAGAGCACAGAGAACACCGCTGAACGGTTTGACAGCTGGTGATGCCAGAGGATGTGGCCAGGAACTGTCCCCACCCTCCAAGTCCTGCCCTTGCCATTCTCAGCCCTTACTGGAAAGGTTGCTACCAGGCCTGCCAGAGTATGTGTTTACTGACTGTGGGAGGTGATGATGCAGCTGTGTGGCCGAGAGATGCAGCTGTGCGGCTGCCTATGTGCAGTGCTGACCGGACAGGCTTGCGTGCACATGAGAAGGTCAAGGATGAAGCTGGCTTCCGACACTCCACCCTAGAGGTTTTGAGTAAGAACTTGAAGACACTTTTTTTTCAACTTTCATTTTTATTTTCTGTGTTGATCCAGAAAGGTATGAAGCTGGGAAGCCTGCTTAAAGCATGATGCAGGAGCGGCCACACTGTGTGAGTAACATTTTGCTAATGAATCCTGCGGTTTGCCAGGATATTAACTTCCATTTTTCATTGAAGAGAAAAACATCTGTAAACCTGGACAATATATTTAGACAGTTATTAAGCTAGTTTATTTTGTACTGCTGTGTGTGTGTGTGTGTGTGTGTGTGTGTGTGTGTGTGTGTGCGCACATGCACATATTCATGGAGGCCAGAGGTTGGCATACACTGTCTTCCCTAAGTGTCTCTCAACTTTATGTTTTGAGGCTGGGTCTCCCACTGAACCCGAGGGCTCACCGGCTCTACTCGACTGGCTGGCCAGGAGCCTCAGGATCCTGTGTTCTCATATCCCCAGTGCTGAGATTACAGTCATATGCTCTCATACCAACTTTTTATGACGTGACTGACTGAGCTCTCTCTCCAGGCCCTCTGCTTTCCTCCTTTTTAAAAATGCAAATGGAATTTACTTGTTAACCTGTGTAGAAAAACATGAAAGCTATGCTTATGGGCATTATGTGACGTGTTGATTCATGTGTGCATTAGGTGATATCCAAGCTAAGTTAGAGCTACATATCTCCTCAAGCATTGGTCACTTACTAGTGAGGAAAGCATTCGGAATCCTTCTTACATTGACACTGTGGCCACTGCCCATGCACTAGCCAATGAGAACCTCTTATTCACTGTAACTCTGTACCATTAGTTAACTTTCCCCAGTCCTACATTTTTTTTTTTTAAATATTCCACATACGAGTGACATCAGGTAGTGTTTTTCTCTCTGTGTCTGGCTTCTTTCACTTAGCACACTGCTCTCCAGCTCCATCCAGGTTATGGTTAGTGACAGGATCTTGTTCTTCTCACGGCTGAATTATATCGCATTGTGCATATGTACACAAGTCTCTTCTTCTACTCACCTGCTGATGGACACCTAGGTTGATGCCATTGTTTGCTTGTAGTGAGCACAGGTGTGAAGATGCCTCTTCAACACATTGATTTCACTTCCTTAGAGTTGCTAGATCATACAGTAGGTCTCTTTGTATTTTCTTGAGGAACTTCCATATCGTTTTCTTCAATTTTTATTGCTCATTATATTCCCACCAGCTGTGAGGAAGGATTCCCCCTTTCTTAACATCCTTGTCTGAAGTTGCTATCTTTAAATCTGTGTGTTTCTGTGTGTGTGTGCACGTGTGTGTGTGCATGTGTGCATGTGTGTGTGTGTGTGTGTGTGTGTGTGTGTGTGTGTGTATGTGTACCCACGTATGTATGTGCATACATAGATGTGGAGGCCAGAGGTCAATGTCAGGTATATTCTTCAATTGCTTTCCACCTTATTTTTTTAAATTAAAAACATCGATTTATTACTGAGTGTGTGATGCGTGTGTACAGGCGAGTGTGGCAGTGTATATGCATCGGTGTATATGTGGCGGCCAGAGAACAGCTTGTTGAGTAGGTTTTCTCTTTCCACCTTTGTGTGAGTCCCAGGGATTCAACACAAGTTGTCAGGCTTTCCAGGCAAGCACTTGTAATATTTCATTGGTCCTTCCACCTTACTTTTTGAGATGGTGTCTCTCGTTGAACCCGAGACAGACTGGCCAGGAAACCCCAAAGAGCCTCCTGTCTCTGCCTCCTCAGTGCTGGAATTGTAGATGCATGCCGCCACGCTTGGGTTTTTCACGGGCCCTGCGGGACTGAACTCGGTTCCTGTGTTTGTACACTGAACGCTTTACTGACTGGGCCTTCTCCGCGGGCTTGGGAGTTACACACAAGTGTGAGCCTCTCAGAAGAGCCAAATGATGGAAGCTTAAGAAACGTCCTGAGCAATGGGAAGAAGACACTCAGCCAGGGTGAGGCAGATGTCCTGGGGGGGTGGGGGTGGGGGTGGGGGGGGGGGGTGGGGGTGGGGGGTGGGGTGAGACCGGCAGCTGCAAGGAGAGAGGAGGAGCTCTGGCAAGCACAGGCTGTCTGTTCGGTGGGTAGAATCTGGGTCTCAGGGCGGGGATGATGGCCAGGGCTTGACCTTCGGCCTCTTCTTCCTGTAGTAGCCTCCTCTTTAATTAGACTTCATAGTGACCGCATTGCTTCTAGAACAGAACTTCAGAGGAAGACCCACTGTGTTCTTTTGGGGGAGAGAGAGCCCCACTGTGTGCTTCGGGAGAGTGTGTGCGTGTGTCAAAATGCCAGGCTGTGGTCAGGAGAAGGGCAGAGGAGGTTCCTTTAGTTCTAAATCATCCCACTCTGGGTCTTGGGGTATTGTTTACTGCGTCCAATACCAGATGATCAGTGGATATTGAAATGGAAACATGAATGAATAAAGCTATCCTATCTGTCCCCTAGACAGAAAGTGAGCAAGGAAGGTTCATATCTGGATCGCTTTGCTTTGTCAGGACAACGGCTACTCAGGGCCGGCGGCTCAGATTCAGCCTCCTTCTTATTCCCTGCAGGGCTGGAGATAGACAACTGGGGAGTTTCAGAAAGAAGACACTGCTTAGCATGTTAAGGGGACACGTGACTTACTGAGAGCAGCAACTGGAAACACAGGAGCGGAAACACAGGTAGGTGCCTCCCCAGGTTCAGCTGGTACCTACCCGTGAACTTCCGGTTCCGCCCTGCAGGCTGGCTCAGCTCCTGTGCCTTTCACTCTCCTCCCCATGCTAAGGAAGCCCACAGCTACACCTCTTGTTCTGGAATCTCCGCCTGGATATCTTGTCCAAATTGCCCTTCTCTTTCCACCATCAACATGGCCCTAACTCCACTTCCCACCCCACCCTAGCCTTCTCCCACACCACCTTGTTTTCATCTTCTCTGTGCCGGACGTCATCACACACACAGTTAGTTGCTCAACCTCCAGGTCCACTGTCAGTCATTCTCCATTCCTTTCTTAAAAAACATTTCTGAGAGCTTAAAAACAAAAACAAACAACCCTTTCATGTGTCTAGGTGTTTTGCCTGCGTGTATGTCTGTATACCATGTGTGTGCAGTGCCCATGGAGGCCAGAAGAGGGCGTCAGATGACACGGAGCGTTAGCTACCACGTGGATCCTGAGAGTTGAACCTAGGTTCTCAGAAAGGGCTGACAAGGCTCTTTAACCTCTGAACCATCTCCCCAGCCCCCTGCAGTCCTTTCTTATCGCACCCCTCACATCACATTCACTACAAGTCGGAGCCCACCCCTGGTCGCTGTCTATCTTTACCCCTGTCATCCGATCAAGCCGCCATCCTGTCTCTTTTGGACTGCCGCTGGAAGCCCCGCCCCCTTCCCCCCCAGATCAGCCCGAGGGAGGCTTTCAACATGATACCCCCTGCCTTGAACCCCTTTCACACCTTCCCAGCGCCTCCTCAGCGGGGAAATCTGAGTTTCTTCCCAGGAAAGGAAGATGGCTTCTGGCTTCTCCAGCTGATCGCCTAGGACCTTGCAGCTTCTTCACTGCTTTTGCTCATTTCCTTTCCTTTCTGGGGCCGTGCAGCGGTCTCCCAACTTGTCTCTTGCGCTTGCTTTTTGCCTCGGTCAAGAATGTTCTACTCCGCAGCCCTCCTGCACTCTGCTGCCAGTCCTTCGAAGAGCTGCGCCTAACCCAGCTGTCCCATGCTGCGTCTCACGCAGCCGTCCTTCCCCTTTACAGCACTGTGAGCAATGCCCGGAGTCACTGTGCTCTTGTGGCGTTCCCTGCGTCTCTAAGGTCCCAGCCGAAGGCTTCCCACTTAACCGCGATAGTGGCAGGGAAGTAATAAAGCGATCGCGCACCTCCACGGACACACACTTCAGGAGAGACACGCAGAGGGGCCCAGTCAGCATTTATAGAGTAAATGAATGAACGAAGGAGGTTTCTTTGTTGGGCGGGGAGGATGGTCTACTTAGCTCAGTAGTTATTAGCATTAAAGCCGGAGCATCCACAGAAGGGCCATCGGCTCGTGGCTGTGAAGGCGGGGAGGTCGCATGTGGGTTGCTCTCTGTCCCTATCATGGGCTGTGCAGTGCAGCTGTGAGCGCCCTTCCAACATCTTCGCTGAAGCTCTCTCTCTGGTCAAGAGCTTGTTGCTTACTTACCTTCACACAGAGAAATAGACTTTGGAGTGTGGGGAGGGAGTGGCTGGAGTTGAGGCGGCTCTCTGAGAGACTGAGAGGGCCCTGAAGAAGAATGGCGGTTCACGGGGTAGAAGCACACAGAAGGTACCTTAACAGGAATGTGAAAACCCGGAGGCAGAACTTAGGTTACGCTATGGATGTGGCATCTGAAGCCCCTTTGCTTAAAGTCACAGAATAGTGTTACTAGGAAGGCATTTTCTTAAGGAATGTGGGTGCATACTTTGATTAGGGGAGAACAAGTATAGTAGAGCAGGTAGATTTGTGACTAGGAATTCTTCTGTTGCTTCCTAATATGCTTAAGGAAAGACATGTCCTCTTGTCTAGAGTCTAACAGAGTTTCCCCTGGGCATTGGCTGATGGAGCGCTGTTGTGGCAGAGGCCTCACGGGACTGGATTTTGAGTAAAATAAAGATTTGTTGTGGTCATCTCAACAATGCCAAAGTTAGAAGTGGGGGGCGAGGGGGAAGAGGGTGGAAGAGGGAAGAGAGAGGAGATGGGACAGATATGTCCGGAAATGGGGATAAGTCCTTCCTTTGTGCTGGCTCCTATATGCCACTTCATCCGTCCTAGGACAGAGTCACAGTGGTGGCAGTATCAGTGTCTTTCTAAAGATGCAGAAATGGAGAACCCCAAAACTAAGCACATTGTCCACATCCTTAGCTCAGAAGTGCTAGAAGATGCCACCGCCTTCCATATTCTTTCTCAAATCCTTTCTTTTCCTCTCCTGTGACACAAAGAGGTTTTCATTTACTTTCATTTGTTATCTACCTACCTACCTGTCTATCTATTATCTATCTATCTATTATCTATCTATCTATCTATCTATCTATCTATCTATCTATCTATCTATCTATCTCTTGTCTTTCAAAGTAGACTCTACCCTATATCAGCTTCCAGTGAGAATGAAGGATTGATAGGGTGGGCAGACGGAAAAAACTTCAAGTTATAAGTCAAGAGAGAGATGGAAAAGTTTTTCTTTGTGCCCTTTCTGATAGAAGGAATGTAAAATCTTCCTTAAGAAAAACATCATTTCAGCTAGGCAGTGGTGGCACACGCCTTTAATTCCAGCACTCGGGAAGGAGGCAGCAGCAGGTGGATCTCTGTGAGTTTGAGACCAGCCTGGTCTACAGAGCAAGTTCTAGGATAGTCATGGCTACACAAAGAAATCCTGTCTTGAAAAATAAGAGAGAGAGAGAGAGAGAGAGAGAGAGAGAGAGAGAGAGAGAGAGAGAGAGAGAAGAAAATAAGTCTCATCTCTTAGAAAGAGGTAGTGGAGTGAAAACTGTCTTCTTAACCCAACTGTGTCAACAGTGATCAGAAAGTAATGGATGACGCGCAGACGGCAGTCACAAGGGCATGCTGCTCCAGTTGGTGTGATCATCACCAGCTTTTGAATTCCAAGGATAAGGGCAGACATTTTTAGTGAATATGCAAATATATAGTTCACAGGATCTCTTGATTGCATGATGTTTTTGCAAAGCTACAAAATACCCTCTGTGTAAAAGAAGTTTAGGCTGGGGAAAGAAAGGAACATGTCACCCCTAAGCCTTTCTTATTGATGGACAAAAATAAGAAAGCAGGCACCCTTTCATGAGGAGGCAGTCACTGCTGGATGAAAAGTTAGGTTTGTCCAGGAACAAAGAGGTCTCCTCCAGGCACAGCTGGCTAGACCATGTCGAGCATGCGTTCATCTTCTGTCTGTCTCCACGTAGCATGAGGCAAAGCAAGTCAACCCATGTAGTGCAACATTCTCATTCTATGCTTGATTACAGTGCCTTGGGGGTCTAGAGCACACCCTACTGCCTTGATACCAAACTAAACCAGCACATACAAGTTGTATTAGATGCTTGCGACCCAGTGATCTCCTCCTTGGACATGCGGAAATTCTGTTTTCCCGCCTTTTCACTAGCTGGTTGTAAGAACGTGGCTGAGGTTAGCCAGTACTCTAGGAATAAAAGTGATGTGTGTCACCAGTCAAAATGCAGAGGTGTGGAGCCCAGTCCAGCTGATAACTCTACAGCACCACCTCTGCACCTGAGGCTCAGGGATCATGGCGGAAAGGGGGCAGAGAGATTAAAGAGCCACAGGATCGAGGAGTTTGCTGTGAGCTTGTGTCTCTTAGGAATGTGGGAAGTTACGTAAAGAACTACAGGCAGCTAAGGCATGCTGAGAGCAGGAGAAATAGTCTTCCTCAGGGAAGGGCGCACCGATAGATTATCCAGTACCAAATAGTCATCTCTGAAAACATATATGTAAGTAACATTATACAGACCGAGCAGGTTGTATTTATGTATTTAGGAATATGTATGTACATGTATATATGTATATGATAACAATTAATTAAAAAAAAGGCCACGAATTTGAAAGAGAGCCAGGAGGGGTATATGGGAGGGTTTGGAGGGAGGAAACAGAAAGGGAAAAGGAAATGATGTCATTATATTATAATCTCAAAAAAGAAAAGGAAAAAGTTTTAAAAATAGTGTCACTTGTGGGAAAAGTGTGTAAGAGCTAGTACACTTCTCATCTTTCCTCACCATGGTGAAGCACAAAGAATCATGTTAAGACAGAGATGCCCAAGATTGACGGCTGAGATGGTTATAAGCCACCACACGAAGGACAAAGGTCCCCAAGAACAACCTGTGCCTGCGGTGGATTCATGTGCTCAAAACCTAAATATTCGTTGTGCTGATGTTCTGAGATTACCGATAATGTTTATTATGTAGTCTGGCTTAGCCCTTCCTGATCATGTGTGTAGGTGGGGACACACACACACACACACACACACACACACACACACGAGCCAAAGGGACATGTAACATAAGCTATTGGTTTGGGCTCTGTACTGGTTTGGATGAGAACTGTTCCCCATGGGCTCATGTGTACAAACACTTAATCCCTAGTTGGTGGCACTGTCTGGGGAGATGACAGACCATTTAGGCCAAGGGGCCTGGCTGGCTGAGGTATGTCCCTGGGGAGAGACTCTGAGAGTTTACAGCCTTGCCTCGCTTCCCGTTTTTCCCCTCCGTTTCTTGGTGAGCCGATGAAGTGTGAGGAGTCAGCCTCCTCTGCTCACTGTCACTCTGTTCCCGCCATCATGGACTCTACCTCTCTGGAACAGTAAGACCAAATACATTTTCTTTCTTTAGTTGCTTCTGGTCATGGAATTTTATCACAGCAACAACAAAGTAACCAACGTGGGCTCTAACTTTTATCTTCCAACAGAAACAAATTTCACAGAACACAGAGGCCGGAAGTGGCTCCTCCCCCCCTGCCTTTCCCCACCACGTGCTTAACTGCAGTACCTTCAGCATCCATTCTCATGGACCCCTCCTGTGGTGACTCCTCAAGTGAGTGGCATTACTGGAGGGGCGGCCTTGTGGGAGGAAGTGTGTCCCAGTCTCTCCCTGCTTCCTGCAGACCCAGATGTAGAACTCTCAGCTCCTTCTCCAGCACCATGTCTGTCTGCAGGCCAGCATGCTTCCCGCCATGATGACAATGGACTAAACC